CCCGAGCCCATCTCCTGATCCTGATCCCACCCCCCGATCCTGATCCATTCTCTGATCCCACCCCCTGATCCTGACCTGTTCTCTGATCCCACCCCGATATTGATCCCACCCCCGAGCCCATCTCCTGATCCTGATCCCACCCCTGATCCCACCTCCTGATCCCTGCCCTGATCCATCCCTGATCCCACCTGATCCCCCCAGATCCCACCCCTGATCCAGAGCCTGCCCCAATCCCAACCCAGATCCCAATCCCACCCCGGATCCCAGATTCCAACCACAATCCCATCCCAGATCCTGATCCCTGATCAGATTCCACCTTCTCACCAGGGAGCTGATCCCACCCCCGATCCCAGATCCCAGATCCCGGCCGCTCACCAGGGAGCTGATCCCATCCCGGATCCCAGCCACTCACCGGGGAGCTGATCCCACCCCCGATCCCAGATCCCGGCTGCTCACCGGGGAGCTGATCCCACCCGGATCCTGGATCCCAGATCCCATCTGCTCACCGGGGAGCTGATCCCACCCCTGATCCCAGATCCCAGATCCCAGCCGCTCACCGGGGAGCTGATCCCACCCCCGATCCCAGATCCCGGCCGCTCACCGGGGAGCTGATCCCACCCCCGATCCCGGATCCCGGCCGCTCACCGGGGAGCTGATCCCACCCCTGATCCCAGATCCCAGATCCCAGCCGCTCACCGGGGAGCTGATCCCACCCCCGATCCCAGATCCCAGATCCCATCTGCTCACCAGGGAGCTGATCCCACCCCTGATCCCAGATCCCAGATCCCATCTGCTCACCGGGGAGCTGATCCCACCCCGGATCCCAGATCCCAGATCCCGGCCACTCACCGGGGAGCTGATCCCACCCCAGATCCCAGATCCCAGCCACTCACCGGGGAGCTGATCCCACCCCTGATCCCAGATCCCAGATCCCAGATCCCGGCCGCTCACCAGGGAGCTGATCCCACCCCTGATCCCGGATCCCAGATCCCAGATCCCGGCCGCTCACCAGGGAGCTGATCCCACCCCCGATCCCGGATCCCAGATCCCAGATCCCGGCCGCTCACCGGGGAGCTGATCCCACCCCTGATCCCAGAT